TGTAAATAATGGCCTAACAAATAGTATGAAAAACGTCAGTCAGCATTTGACTTAATGATAGGTTGTATTTGCTGACAAGGTCATTGTATCGGCCACAAAACTTTCGATGAAACGAGACTGTTGATATCCTTGTTTCATCAACTTGTTTGTCAATAGCTTGCCTCGTTTTAGAAATTGTTCATACGTAGAGCATGCTCTTGCGTATGGAATCAACTGGGAGACAAAAACCCATATGCAGGTGTTAAGGGTATATTGCTACATAAGTAAGGGATGTTGACGATTGAAAAATTTAAGTCATCACGTTTATCATAAAGCTTTGTTGTTAGGTTACCATTAAAGTCTTTTTCTAGTAAAATATCCAAATATGAAACAGATGTATCAGACTATGTGGTCTGTACTATACTTATTAGCCTTAGAAGTACTTGCACCTGTTGTTGAGTTGGGCTTGAAAACCGAGACATCAATTCTTGAGAGTATCAAAAGATTTTTTTAACGATTTTGCTATTGTGCAGGATTTTACTGCTTTGTGTGGTTTTATGAAACTCATACACAGCTGTGTCTCTTCTGCCCTGATAATTTTGGTTTTTTCCAAATATTCCATTGTACTTGTCAAGAAATGACATCTAGCTTTGAGTGTTCTTCATATTTTGTAAAATTAACAAAATTTGGACTTTGTCCCACTAACCTTGATTTTGTTTAATCTTTCGATGTAAATACTATTTCATCCTTAGTGATGTTAATGTTCTCAGTATCAAGTTTATGAATTTCAGATGACCTGCTTGCTGAAGAAAGGGCAATTAAGATGCACAATATTAATGAGATTTCCTTCAATGACAGTTCTTTATTATTTTCATTGCCTATGATAAATGAAAGCACTTTGTTAACATCCCACACTTGCATGTATCTTGGCCTTGGTGGCTTTTTATTAAAAATTCCTAAGTTGACAAAGAAGGTCATGTTTTCCTATTTTGTTTCCTTCAATTTCTACATGAAATACAGAAATTGCAGACCTGTAACTGTTAATTGTTCTATACTCATAACCTTTTGCAGCCAAAAAATCAGCTATATGTTCTACAGTGGTTCGAAATGGATCGCTTTGTTTTGATTGACACCGGCTATTCCACTGTCTCCAGCAGCTGTTGTAAGCTGGGTTCCTTGTCGCCATCCCGCAGAAAATAGCTCGGAAGTTTGCTCCGAAACTCTTGTTGCTTGTTTTTGTCTCCTGAAATCTTCCAAGCCACTACTTTTAAGCTTTGACTTTTGACTAGTAGGTGCACCTTCCCTCTGGCGACAGTAGTAGGTTTTTATGGGAGGTAACGGCACTGGGTTGTCCATTGTCAAGGTCAAAAGTGGGGGAAAGTAAGGCTGAATCTGCCATGCAGGGATTATCATGACAATTTCTTATTTCTCTTTCAGGACTTTGGATTAACACCTTGTTATTAATCAAAATGGGGGAAAACATACTAATATCCCCTTTTAATGTTCCATGGTATCGGAAATACATCTGTTCCCATGAGTATGGGTCTTGACGCCATCTCATCTAGTTTTCCAGTTGTGTCTTTAACCTGTCTGCAAAGAAGAGATCCATTTCTAGTTGCCCCCACTTCTGATTTATTTTTTTTGAATATTTCCTTGTTCAGCATTCAGTTGCTGGTATTTCTGTTCTGACGACTCTCTAAGTCTGCTTGAACATTCTGTATTCCGGGCAAATGTTCTGCAGTAATCACGAGCTTTTAGCATAGACAATGAGTCCAAATCTGTTTTGTTATTTGTAATAAAAGCTCTGATCTGAATCCCATAACTTTTTTTCAGATAAGCAAGAACTGTTGTCTGATTTTATGTGAATATGAATGTTCTTTTTGTGTTTTGTCAGTGATTGAATTGCAAACTGTACTGCCTTCAGTTCCAGTACATTGATATGCAGTTTTTTTCTCTGAGGGATTCCAAGCCCCCCCCCCCCCATCCTTAATTCTGATTGAGACATACTGCCCCCACTCTCTTTTGATGCACGAAAGGGCTGTTGGGACTGGTCTGTGCGCCTTTTCTTTATTGCATTTCTTTCGAAATCTCTCTGGCCCTCTTTCTACTCTTGCTTTTCCTGTGAAGAACCTTAAAAACCTAATCACCATAAAGAACCTCTTTTTCTTTGCTAAGATCATGCTTATTAGTCCTAAGGTGTTCTTTCGCTTTCATAATATCTTTCATAATCTTGGACAAGAAATTAATTCGGCGTTCGTACAAACAAATAGCATTTGCCTGGCCAACTAAAACAACAGTTTGTTCTATCAGTTTAAGCATGTCAAAAACTGTAAACTCAGAATTCTCCTCCTAACCCTTCCGTGCCCCATCAAATGCCTGCCAGATTTTGGTCAATGACCCCATTATCTGAGCAATTTTCTTCTGAATAAATGCCAGGTTTTTATCCTGCATTTTTAAAAATTTCATAGCATCATAATCTATGAAATCTTCCAACTTTTGGAGGAGTACAGAAAGCGTTAGCAGGCCATGGGGTAGCATCTAAAATGTTGTGTTTGATACCGTCTTCTGTCAGATGTTGATAAAAGTATTTCTGACAGAATGTAGTCATGCTGCCTTCAAGTGAAAATGAATTCTCACCTAATGTACGGTCAAATCTCTCCCCATCAGATTCTGCCTCTACAAAAATGACATCAGAATTGTCTTACAGATCTGGTTCCTGATGGTTGGAGCTATCATTATCTTCAGAGAGATTAGATCTCTCAGATTCTTGCCCCGATTCGTATGGGTCTCTGTCCGAGTCAGAGCGTATACATTGCCATCCTGGGTAAAATCCATGTTGTGAAAATGCACAACGTGCCCTAAAAAATATACACAACGTGCCAAAATAAGGAATACACAACATGCCTTTAAAAACTACTGAAGCTCTGTTTGATTGATGGTATGTTGTTTTACGTCCCGTTCGAGGATCTTTCTCTCATATAGAGACGTCACCATATACCGGTGAAGGGCTTCAAATTTAGACCTATACTCGACACTCAGGTGCCAACGCCTACCGTGACACGGGGCCTCAGTTTTTAAGGTCTCACCCGAAGGACCCGCAACTTTCAGTTGCTACCTATTTCTTATCCACTTAGGTCGATCGTCAGTCGCGGCCGTGATTCGAACACACGACCGAGCGAGTGCTCTACCGACTGAGCTACCGTGACGTTCACTGAAGCTCTGGAAGCCAAAGCAAACAAAAATTTTCGACGAAACAAGTCGATGTAATTCGATACAATCTCTAGCTGAAAAAAGGCGTCTGCTCGTACGAGAAGCCTGCGGAAGAAGTAGGTTATAATAATTTATAGATCTCGGTTCCGATCACTTTAAAGGGCTTGCGAATCGAGGTATACATCGTTAGTATACATCATTATACCTTACATCAGTTCACGACATAAAATAAGACATCGACTAAGCACAAAATCTATACTTCTAAACCTTGTGGAATTTATCATGTTCAGAATTAATTATCTTGTTTTACAGTTATAACATAATATAGATACTCTCTGATCATAAGTTGCATTTGTTCGAAGTACGAATTTCAAATATAATGTTGAAATAATGACGAAACATAACCTCGGTTATTTGGCAAAATCAGGAGCAAATGGATTAGAATTACTGGTTAGATCTTCTGTCAAATCCAAGTCTTTCTACTCAGCGGCCGATCTATTTGTGGTTGTGCTAGAATGTGCACATGGGAAAATAAGGCGTTATTTTTTGTTGTTTCGATTGAATGATTCCTTATTGATAGCATTCATCAAAGATAAGAATAAGTAATTTTAAAAATAGTTTTTTATCATTTCTTAACTATTGTTATTAATGCATTTAATTTTTTGGTCAATTTTAATCAGATATTAATTTATTATCTTACATTTTTTTTTACAAGAAGTGCTCCCCAGTATGGGAGTGTATAATGTATAAACGCAATTCGATACGATCTTGAGTTTCCAAAAAATTACAGTACTTGAAAAATTAGAGGCAAAAAATTGTTATTGAGTTTTGTTTTGAATTTGATACAGGTGCAAATGACAAACCAATAATTTTTCGATACCAGTGGCGGATCCAGGAATTTCATAACGGGGGGGGGGGGGGGGCGCACTAGTATCATTTTATCAATTTATGTACTAAACTGGACTAAACCGAAGGTAAATTCTTGTTTTAAAAAACTTCAAACGGGGGGGGGGGGGTACGCTCGGCGCGCCAGCGCTGGTTTCGTCTTTGGATACTTCACATTTATTGTGATGTCCATCATCCCGCCTGCAGAAATCATCGGAATCATCACATGAGACGTTTGCGGCCGATACAATGCTTTTAAATCTTGACTTTATTTCATAGAAATAAATTGTCTGCTTTCAATATTCAAACGAAAAATATGATTTTGTTGTCAGTTCTAGAAATTGAAAAAAATTAAGTCTACATTACGAAATCTTCAATAATGTCGTCATTGTTAAGGAAAATATCCTACATAATTCATCATCCTTTGAAAAGGACACAAGTTTTTCCACTAAATACATTTCAACTGTAATGATTTGGGCCGTATACATGTATATCGGCCTGGATAACTCAGCTGGTAGAGCCCTGACTAGTGATGCAGGGGTCCAGGGTTCAATGCCCGGTCCAGTCATACATTTTCCCCTTTCCTGTTACACAACCTTGATCAAAGGAAGTTATCAAATTTGGTTGATAACTAGTCAGATATACTTTTTAAACACGTAAAAATTTGAAAGTTTCACACACAAGTGACAACACATGCACTGGGATGGATAGGCTTTAATCAAAGATTACATAATATTCCAGTTCACCTTTTCCAAATACAAATATTGCCTACTTGATCAGACATGCATGAATATTTGAACATGTTATATAAAATATACGAGTATGTATATGAATAAGATAAAACTATTTCTGCATCTTCAAAGATATTTTTCAAGCAAGGAAATAATTGGATTAAAACCAGATTGAAAGAACTTTGAAGATACATGTATCTAAAGAATAAAAAGATTTTTTTAAATATGTTCAATTGCATATTTTTTTATGTTCACGGGATATGACACTATATACTTATGTACAAATATCATAATTACATTGAAACTATATACAGCTAAAGTATAACATGAATAGTATCTTAAGACACTTCTTATAAATTTGTTTATTGTCTTCAAGAAAACCAGAAGACAGGCATGTCATGTATTATTTCAGCAGATAATCAAAAGTATAGAAACAATGGCTCACATACTTAATAAATTAATCATTAAAATTATTATTTCATAGTATATAAAAGGGTCAAATAAAAAAAAATCGTCAAAAATAATACTGAATTTTTATTTTTTTAAAAGGGAAGAAAGATTGATGGACTTTCATACACAATCAAAACATACATAACAAAGATACATGTATACAAATCTATTTCAACATAGAGTCAAGTTTATAATAAAAACATGGAGGAAATATATGTATAATTACTTTCCTTATAGTAATAAGAATATTTTCATGTACTTGTAATACAGAAAAGTGATTCATCCTGCAACTTAACACATATGAAATCCTTTGTCAGTCCATGAAATGAGAATCTGTTTCCCTTATGAAAAATTATACATGTATTATCATAATACTACAAAACTAGTGATGTCACGAAACACTGATGTTTGCCATGATACAAGAACATGTTGTTTGATGTTTTAAACATTTGAAAACTGCATAGATAAAAACATATAACCTTGCAATTTTATTGCTTCATTCAGTTTGTGCGATAATGAAAAATAGCACAGATGTATATCTGGCAAAAAATAAAACGTATTTAAAATTACTAACAATATAAGGGTGTATATGCATGTATAAGAAAGTAAAACAAAGACAGATCTGCCTAATATCCTTTGAGCAATATTGGAATGTAGTATTAAGGCAAAATATATAGTCATCAAGATTTATAATGGCATTTATCATTTATTACATAAAAAGAATTATATGATATGGCACAAAAATATAAAAAAAAACATCACCAGTATTAAATCATCACACTACTGTATTTAACCAATGATAACATCGCTGAAACATATGTGTAAGGTTCTGAACTCCAAAAGGGAAAAGGACCTATTTCTGCATTATATCCATTAAATATCATGGGAACATTGAATCCAAAATGTGTTTTGTTGAGCTGAGTGTTGTACCATTCTGGTGACTTTACACCTTGCATAGCTATAATTGTGGCATCACTAGGAATATGGGTGTCATCTGCAATAGAGGTTCCATTCAAGTACTCTTTACGGTTCGATGGATACCACCATGGCATGGAATCCTGAGAAAAATAATCAAACTGAATATAAGGAAGACAAAACTCATCATAAAGAGCTTAAGAATTTATGTTTTGTTTTATTTTTGTTTTACCTTTAAATTTAGTGCATTATTTTTTTTTTTTTTTTTGGGGGGGGGGGTCTTTTTTCATTGCATACTGTATTACATGTACACATGTACTTCAAGTATCACCTCACACTTTCCAAGGCAGAAAAGATTAAAAATTTCTTTTGAAAAAAAAATAAAGTAAAAAAAATTGCTCATAAACGACACTTACAAAACTTTTCACTGAACCTGAGAAAAACGCATTCCAAGGACGATATTTTCCAGAGAGGGCATTTCTACATATCCACTGCACAGCTCTCTTTACCACATCAATTACTTTGGCGGGTACTCCTGAAAATTTAAACATAAAACAGTACAATATTTAAATGTGCATGATTGTTTCCTTTATGTATGGAAATGAAACGGACTTTAATTTGCACAGAAATTTTAGTACTTCCATTTCCATTTTTTCTACTGTCTGCCCAAAAAGTAGAAGTAACTTTTTAATTATGAGACTTGAAAATCATACTTAGTACAAGTTAAAAGAAAAATCATACCTTTTTCCCAGATCAGCCTTTTTCTTGCAGAATCATAAGAAGTCCATGTTGTTAATAAAGCATTGATGGCCATAGAAGTTGTAAATATTCTGTCCTCGCCTCTTTCCTGTAGTAAAAAAATTGAAACATTCGCACAATTTATCCACAATGTGATACAATATGTCAAAACAATCTGCCTTCGACTTGTATTTTTACTAACAATTGTTTTATTGAAAATTGATCTATCTCCATCACCGAGAAAGTCGTCATAAAACACTGAACCATCATCGTCAGTTTTGTAAGACATCAAAATGGAGGTTGTCATTTTACCACACAGTGCTTCTCCCAATATTTCCCGAACTCGCTTCATGACCTGCAAAGAGATTCTAAATTCTATATTGATGCTGGTTGCTGACAAATACCCTTACATTTGAAACATGACAAAAATGCTGATAAATCCTCTGTACATATATTTTATTGTATATTTTTGCATCTCCTTTGTCTTCCTTTGTTAGCTGGCAACTCAAAAAGAAATCATGGGGAAAAAAGTAACCGTGTATTTTTTTAATGAGCATAGTACAAGTATGAAGTGAAATATGACTTGCTCAAGAATATCAACAAATTAGTGAACATTTTACGAGGGTCCTTCAATAAATAATGCAACAAACAGTATATCATAGTAAATGAAGATCTATTTTAATTAACTTTTTCACAGTTGAAACGTTCAATTAAAGAGTTTCTAATCACAGAAAACCCCATGATTTTTCCTATTGTCCTCGCAAAGAAATTCACTTTTAAAGTAAGCATTGTTACTTCACTGAGCTGAAAACTGTTTAAAATGATCTCTGCCAAGAAGATGAAAATGAGAGCGAATGTGAAAACTGTGCTTCTTTACATAAATCGCCGAAGAACTCATTTTAAAGATATGAATTTTATATGTGGAAAGAATAGTCTTTAACGCTGTATAATTTTCAGATTGATTCAGAAATTCAAAAGTAAAAAAGGAGAGTTTAGATATAAAAGTCAAACTGCTCGATTGAAATTTGTAAGGACACCAACAATTATCAATGCAATGTGCAACATGATATCCGAAAATGTCAGATAAATAAGGCACATAGCTGAAAGAAACATTATTTTTCTTAAAATTGCCTAAGAGAAAAATACGCATTAATTGTGTAAACGGTCTACTTAAAAACAAATATTTTAACAAAATAGAAGATTTCTTAAATTTGCGTGATGGATGTCGAAACATGGGTGCACTTTTTATGGCCAAAAAGGAAGATCAATAATAAAATGTGGAATCAAAGAAAAAGCTATCGTTCTTATTATTGTAAAGAGAAACAAGGGCTCCAATCATGTTTTATTAGTTTTCATTTTTTTAAAGAGGTCCAGTAAAACATGTTGATACACACAGAGGAAGAACCACTAATGGTAACTTTTATGTTCAAATTGCACTAAAGAAAGATGAACAAATTTCCTGCAAAGGAAGTCCAAGTACCGCCCCCAGGGTAATTTTCTTGCACCTGGCAACGCTAGCGCTGCTGCAAATAAGCACAGAGAAATAAATGAAATTCTGAAGAAAAGAAAGTTTACAGAGCTTTGCCATCCGCCATGTTCGCTAGATCTCAGCCATTGTGAGATCTTTTAATTCTAAAAATGCATGAAAACAATCAAAGGAAGATTGTACAATACATATATTAGATACATGTATGTCATGGAATGTGATATTCATCAGTGTCTTTGGGGCATCCCTAAAGATGGGTATGCTGAGGTTTTCTGGTCATAGGTACAAAGACTTCAGACATGTGTAAAGGATAACAGGGAATGCTTTGAGGGATTGAAAATATTTAGTATATGTATTACGCACTTTTCTTCCTTATAGATGACCTATTGCATTATTTATTGAACGACCCTCGTACATTTTCCCATAATTAAAACTAACTTGTTTTAGTATTAAAAAAAGGGAAGATAACGAACAGTGATCAACCATAAATCCTGTAAAACAAAAAAATTACGAAACAAAAACGAATCTTGAGCAGGGCATAAAACACGGAGCCCTGGAATCACCAGAGTTGGGATCAGGTGTCTATGAGGAGTAAGAATCCTCTGTCGACCGTTCGCACCTGCCTTTAGCCTTCTATATAAATCCGGTAAACGGGGTTAATCCGTAGACAATTCAATTGGATGAAAAATTCAGTCAAAATGCGACCCAACGGTAGGTTGTATTTGCAAAGTAGGTCATTGTAACGACCATAGAATATGCAGAATGCTAGTTAAAACGAGCTTTTTGAAAGCCCAGTAAGTACAATTTATTTGTCTGTAGCCTATCTCTATTTAACATCGTAATGAATCAGTTGGGAGAAATAAAAATCATACATAGGTAATAGAGGTATACTACTACACAAATAGGGTAAGTTGACTACATATGTTAAAGCTGCCGTATCTGGTCATCCTATTGTCAGTTAAACATCCAAATATGACACAGATATGGCACACTCTGTGGTGTATTTCATTTAGTTTTCACTGGAATATATTTAGTCGTTATATGGTCAAAAATTTGTAGTCAAGAAATATATGTTCTATAAAGTGAAGATTTTGGAATACATTTCGAAATAAACCCAGCATTGTCACAGTTTTTCTTATTACAAATAACTAACTGTACAGATTTTGCTAAGTTCCTACAAGCTAGCGTCAATAAGGGCATTGGATAGAGAACATGTACAAAATTCTTAAAAAATGTGTTCTCCATGTAACTTGTGTGCAAATCTCCAATCAAGAAAATAATGGAACTTTGAAATGAAATATAGTGACTGAGTCAAAAGTAGATTTGAGTAGTCATGGAGGAACACCTTGTTGATTGACAGAAATCTACATGTAACTGGCACATCAACAAATCAACATATTCAATTACATATATATACAGTCCGTGGAAAACGAACCAAACTGCAACAAGAAAATCCAAGACCCCCTGCAAGATCATGACTTTGATCCTTAACAACAAAAATGAACGCAATCCCTTTTCCATGACCTTTCGCCTATTGGATATGTTAGGAATAAAATTGGACTTCGTCTGCATAACCGACTAACTGGATCAGGAGCTGCTTAGCTTGAGATTTGAAATTGCTTCAAGGAGACATCACTGTCTATCATGCATGTAATGGCAGTCACATACATTACTGACTGTATGAATCGTCTGGAGAATCTTCATTTCTTTTTAGTGTCCTCACATTGAAATTTGTATTTATGGTTAAATTCATTAATTGAATATTTTTTCCATTAGTAAACTGAAGGGAAAAAGGATCGCAGGGTAACATAATATACAATACTTATTTAACAACATGGCCAAAAATTATGAAAATTGGTCAAAGGAGCCTCTTGGTTACTGTACAGTAAAATTTCCCAACTCTGAAAGGTATGGCATCACATAGGGAAAGTGGTAAAAAGCCAAAAACACGTGCAGATTGAAAATGTCATCAAATCTCGTAATGAAACTTGATACTTTGGAGGTATACACGTCGTTTTGTTTTTCGCTATTTACAGTCACGTAACTACCACAGACTCCTCTGTAATACAGTAGGGAATCATAATCGTCATATTCACTCCAAAACTGGAGGAAACCGATTGCGCCAGTTTGGTACGCAAGCTTTTCGACTTTTATCTTGCTCGCATATTTGTGTGCTGTATGCATATTTTTTTTCAATTTATCTACCACGCGCTGTATGCATAATTTTTCAGCATATCTACCCCGCGCTCATTGTAGCCAAAGTATGTCAAGATTTCTTCGCAAACAATCGACTGTTCTCCGTACGGCCCACCTTTGTCTCCAATCCAACACATACGTATGTGGGACTAACTGGTCAGTTTGTTAAGAACCAGGCGTCGGAATACCCCGGCTACTCTCGATCATCTATGAGAAGAGCTACTTTGTTGGAAAGTTTGAATAATATCCCAGTGAGAAATAAATCCACCGATAAACTTCATGCACAGGAGATAGGCTGTGACAGATGCTGTGGGTAAATAATGAAGCGTCTTTCGACTTCACTTTCGGTGGTACCGGTAAATGAATTTCAAAAACTCTTAAATTATCGGTCAAAATCAAGTGAGATTTTGTGAATTTGTTGATTAAAGATGTGTCTTAATGTTAGCTAATAATAACATTGGAAAGTACATTCCAAAAATTACCATTAAACTACAGAATAAGTTTACCCTGCGTTTCTTTTTTCCCTTTAGTATACATCACGTCACATGTGCTACAAATTGAGGAATATTTAAGGAATCACTGTCTAATTAGTAGAGTATGCCAGGGCATCAACGATAGTTGGAAACGTGGGATAATTTGCATAATAGGCGAAGCCCGTTATGCATAAATTATCCCACGTTTCCAACTATCGTTGATGTCCCTGGCATACTCCACTAATTAGACAGTGATTCCTTATATTTCCATTGCATTGTGAAATAAAATTGTTAATTTATATTTTTAAAATGTAGACTAATAGATTTAATTACACGATGTCTTCCATGTCAATTTAATAGTCCCCGCCTAGTGACGTCAAACACAAAGACAGCTGCACGAGATTTACATGCATATTAGGCCTACTTAGCGTCAGACGCTAAGACATACGCACGAGATTTACATGCATATTAGGCCTTCTTAGTCCTTAGCTTCTGGCCTATCGCTTGGCCCGTTATGCAAATTATCCTACGTTTCCAACTATCGTTGATGCCCTGACATACTCTACTAACTAGACAATGTCTATAATTATGTACCTACCCTGATATTCTCTAGGTTTTACTTTCTACATTTATCGGATAAATGGTTGCTTCTGTTAAGTCATGTACATGTATGGATTATCACTCTTTGGTTAAAAGATAAATCGTGGGTGAATTCTGGACATAAACGTACTTCATGAAAAATAAGTACCAAAGGGTGTGTGCAAGTGATCAGTCTTTATTAATCTTATGAGGATTTGCTTTTACTAAGGCAAGTTTTTTAATATGTAACACACTGGTTTAGCTAAGAGCAAGATTGAGTGATCATCCAGGAGATTAATATGAGGACAACCCAATGATGTCAAGGGCCAAACTTCAGGAAATGCATCAGTATCTACATCACATATTTGTAAATTGAAAATTTTGCTTACAGTGTATGATTGAAATTTTGCTGTTTGTCTTATTTTAATATTTGTAAAATATACAGGCAAGATTCTGGGGGAAACTAATGTGTACACCCTTGCTTTCTTGCCTTTTTGATTCAAGAGCATCTAAGCCATTGTTATGCTCATATGAGAAATACATGTACCTATAAAATATAAATATTGTGCATCTTTGTTTAAAAGTTTGAAAAGTTTAAACTAACTTCTCTTTACTGTATCTAAAGAATTATAATACATTGTAATATATATTTAGCTTTAGTGAATTTTGTTCAACATTGGATAAAAGGAGTTCACTTTCATGTATTCCAAGAAAAAAAATGATAGCATGATTTAATTTGAACATATTTTATTATGTAATAAGACATAAATGGATTGGGCAGCAGGCTTTGCATATACATGTTTGTCCTCTATATAAAAATATGATAGTATGAAATGCCAAGTAAAATCATTTAAGGATTTTAAAATAAAATGTTGATTGTTACTTATTATTGGTACAGTGTATAACTTACAGGATGTAGGCTTTGATGTTGGGAATATTCCTGTAGTTTACTAAATGTCCTTGACACAAACCAGTAGAACTCATACTCTGAAGGGTAGTAGGTCAAGGCCAGGTCTCTCCTGTTGGATAAGTTTGTATTGATCTCATACGCAATTAATGCTGATGTGTTCAGGTAAATTTGCTGCCAAAAGGAAACAAAATTTACAATTTACTGTATAAAGCAATAATGATATATTCAGAAAAAAAATAAGGTCTGCCTTGCGGGATAAAGTTACCTTTCATGAATAAATATTGTGTAATACAATTAATGTATACAATAAACTTGGGTTTCATGTAATATTTATAGAAGTAATTTATAATGCAGTTTTATTATCATTACAAGATGATTATAATATTGCCTCAACCTTGCTTTCATGTAATTATGAATAAATGTATTGCCAAATAATTTTATAAATTAAACTGAGTGGAGATGGACACGACTTTGCACATATTGCTTCACCTTTGACCCACTTTGGACATAAAGGTAGCCACAAGCCCCAGGGCTCTTATTTTGCCTGCACTGTAATGTACTGTAAATTCATTACACATTTACAGTTGAACTTTGCTATATCAAACACAGATATTTCTAATACCATGGATATGTCATCCTCACAATGTCAGGGGTCCTGAGTCCACTCATAGCCGTAGGATCCCTGACAAACTTCATTCTGTTTTTTTTTTTTTCAAGCTTGCTTCTCTCATTGAGAAGCATCAATTAAAGAGACTTCCATAAAGTATATATGATCTCTCAAAGTTTTTCCTTGGTGCTATTGAGTTAGAGATAATAAGGTTTGACTGTACATGTTTAATATAACACTAACCTGAATATCAGGATCCTCTATAACAGACTTTGGTAGTATGCCTGTTAAAATGCCATTTGTTAAACCATAAATAGCATTAGCTGCCACGGTGATATCAACATTATTGATATTAAATGGCATGACATTTCCTTTGTAAAACCCTTTTCTAGCTTCTTCTGTATTCTGGACCTAAAAGTAAAAGGGCAGGAATAATGAGATAAATTTATAAAATATTAAAAACGTGTTTCAAGTACAAAAACTACTCTTTCAATGGCATTTGACAATGACTAAAAATCTTACCCAAGTAGGTACAAGAGCAATGGTATCACCTGCATCCCTGGCCTTTTCTAAAAAACCTCTCATGTAGAAATATGTTCTTGGGTCTATTGAGTCAACTTTGCTGTCATTTGACATGGGCCTTAGGGACAAAAAAAATAATAGGAAAAATCAGATTATACCCATGATTAAGCTACAGGTAATTTTATTTCATGTGATTATTTTTCATTTTTTAAATACATTATATTTTAACAGGATTTCATCGTATTCAAAGTTAACTATTTGTCATTATAAACGTAAATAGGCTAAAATATTAGTTATCAAATATTTACAGCAATAAAAAGAAAGATGTACTTAAAAATTTAATAACTCTGTTTCTCATAATATACATGAAGAGTGGAGTCTCATTTATCTGGATGCCAATAATCCACACACTTTGCCTTCCAAACAAAAATTGTGGAGAACAATTTATATTATTATATACCAAGTGTGTTTCAGGAATCCGGAATCTTCATTAATCTGAACAATTTGCTTGGGAACACAAGCGTTCAGCATGTGACTGTACATGTATAGTCAAATGACAAAGCTGATTTATCAAAATGATATTTGCTTAATACTAATTAAATTAATCTGTGTTTATTGTCAAATAAAGAGTACAGTCTACATGGTCCTTCAGCAGAGGATGTTTTACAGAGATTATCAATTCATCAACCGAATTACACAGTAACCCATATTCTGTTAATTTGCAATAACATAACATAAATTGCCATACTCTCTTTTCTTAAAAAAAAAAAAAATTTAAATTTACATGTTATAAAAATTTACCTGTAAGCATACTTCTTAAGCGCAGTTAAAACTGATGTTAAATTTGAATTTCTTTTCATCCATGTCTTGAAGCTCTGAGGAAAAGACTTGGACATTTCTTTCAAAAGTGATCCCATGCCAATGTTCACAAAGGTGTCATCAAAATCAGGAGGAATATGAAAGGCTTTTATATAGGTATCCCTGAAACAAAGTAATGTTATGTACATCTAGTTTGTGGTTCAAAGAGACATCACACACTTTACAAAGAACTCATACACTGTAACAGTTATAGGAAAGCAATTGTGGAAAGTAAAATTGTAGTGTATGATGATTAAAAGAAAGTTTTTCAAATAAAGAGTTACTTAAAGAGATTTTAAGGTACAACGTCAAGCATGATAAAAAAAAAAATTGCAATCATACTTCTCTTGCAACAACTGTTTGATATTCTTTATCATTTCAGCATCAGCTAAATGCAGTTTTTGTAGAAAGTTAAGAATCACAGACCATGGAATGTCATCAAACAGGGCAAAGAGTTGCAACAAATTCTCTGGTGTACTTTGCCATGTGTCCACACTTTCATTAAGTGCTTGGGGCCAAAATGTTTGAACAGATGTGTTGAATTTATCATTTTTATCAACAAATTTCTCCATGGCTTTCACTGCATTCAAAATCAACTCCTCATCAATGCAAGTTCTATTATTTCCTAACTGATGTACTTCAAGAAGAGCAGTTGTAATCCAAGCAGTGGCAAAGTTATTATTGTCAAATATTTCAAATCCTTCACGGAGCATAAACTCACTAAATGATCCATGAAAATAGAGTTTGACGTGGCTTTCAAACAGTCCTTTCTCCTTGTGCCAGGAAAATGGAGGAAGGCTTTTTGTTGTTTTCTGAATCTGTGAATTCCTAACTTTTTCCAACAGCTTCTTAACAATCATGGAAGTATCCATACAATGTAATAAATGGATTGAGATGAAAATGAGAAAGCATATGTACTGGACATTTACTTTCATGTTCATTGATCTAACTGGCATGATTCTGAGTTGTCCTCCTAAGATACTTAGTCTGAATGCATGTAAACTATACCAATTTTAGGTGGCTTCTCATCACACTTGAAGTTGATCAGCCTTTGCATGAATAATCAAAATATAAGATAGTACTGGCATCCATTGGATCTTTGTATCTAAAACAAACAGTTTAGTTCAACTTTAAATCTAACCAAAAACAAACAAGTATTACCTAAACACACTGGGAACACTTGCCAAAATGGGATATAATTGCTTGCATGGGTTTTAATATCCCATCTGGGATCAGAGACATGGGTTGTTAATTGTTATTAGTTATCAATGTAGGCATATAGTTTTTAATCTTTAAAAAGCATACACCTGTATATATTAAATAAAATGATCATTAACTTTAGATCAAAAATGAATCTAATTAAGACTAAGAATAAAGTGATAAGTCACATACTTTAGGATATAAACCTGTTAAAGGCAGAGTTGCGAATGTCTCTGATGGAATATATTAAAATTACAGTGCAAAACTTTAAAACAAAAATATTTAGCTTAAAATGTAAATTTGCATAAAAAGAACATTGAACAGACAAAATGTCGGAACGCTTACCTCGCTTAACTAGTATAAGCAGGTTCCTTCAAGCTAAGGCAAAATAACAAAACGAAAAAAACTTTTCATCTCGCAATAATGATTGAAGTTATGGAATACCACTACTTAAATCTATATGGATTAACAATTCACTAATCATGTTTTTGTTTTTTATCTCAGCTGATTTACTAACATCGGAAATTATTTAAGATGCGTAGTTCCAGAATCCTCACGCAGGATATTTTTTTCCGGAGAATTACGAAGCGTTTTTTTTCTGTCCTTCTGATAGCTAAAGATGTGTGACGGATTTTCGAGATACTTTAGGGCATAGTGTGAAGTTCAGATACTAAGACTGATGTCGTTGAACAGTGTGGAAAGGGAAAACAACTCTTTAAGGGGACAACCATTTGAATCTGAAAAAAAGGGGGGGGGGGTAATATTACTATAGTCAACTATAGTTTACTAGTATCAAAGTTATAACTTTATAAAATCAAAGTTTTCAAAGTTATCACTATAGTCTTATAGTGATCACTGTGGTAAATTAAAATGCCAAAGTTATCACTATAGTTAACTAAAGTTTCCATTGTGTCAAAGCTATCACTATAGTTTACTATAGTATTATTTTGCTTGGGGAGGGGGGGGGGGGAGGGTGTTAATAGCACCAGGCAGGGGCAAATTATTTATTTTCTTGAGTTGAAGACAGATAATTTATTTTCTTACGGAAGCGTATTAGTACCACGAATTTTTTTTTTTTTTTTTTGAAGTTGGTACATGTAATTCCAACTTAAAACTTGGAATGACCAACTTTAAAGTTGGAATGACCAACTTTTAAGTTGGAAAAGCCAAGATTAAAGTTAGAATTACCAACTTTAAAGTTGGAATTACCAACTTCCCGCCCTGAGAATTAAATGGTCGTCCCCTACTCCTTTGTTATGTCAAAAAGTTATAAGTTTGTCTTGATGGTGCATTTTTTTTTCGTAAAATATTCCAGAAGTCAAAAATTTATCCAAGGACAACTCCTTCAGTATGTCTTTCAAATATGCTCTAATAATTAATTTGCAACTGAAATGACATACTTGTATTTGCTTTTGACAATTTTTGTAAGTCGTTAAGATGTCACTGTCATATTACAGCTCTAGAAACTTATATAAGCTTTATCATTACCAAGAAAAAAAAAGAATTGATATAACATTAAAAAACACTTTGTGGTTCCACCTTCGGGGAGCTTCGGGGAGTAAAAAATTAAATATCATGAGGTTATAAACCAGTTTTGGGGGATGGATTAATTGTTCTCTGTTGTAGCCGTATTCTTTAGCCGGTGCCAAGTTAACCCAGACTCTTCGTATCCTCCACTTGTCTCTCGGTCTTGACTTCTATTTTTACTAATGACCTATCAATGCTCTTTGTAATATCATTTTTAATTATATTCAAGATTGGTTAAAGCAAGAAGCCAATTAATATATTATATTTACAATGTAAAAAAATCACACCACAAACTTTCTTTGTGGCATTCTAGTAAATTTGAAAGTCATTTGTAAAGTCTTTAAAATAATAAGAATTAAACACAGATTATTGTGTTCCGACTGACGATTTGTAATATTGATCCACAAGTGGTACGTTTCACATCGGAATGTGTTCTGATTGAAACAATAGAAAAAAGAGCTGACAATGATTCCATAGCTGTCAAGTCGAGAAGGACCGAGGAGCTGTAGTAATTACAACCGCCACTCATCCCCAACACTACTAGGCAACTTTAACAAAGAATCTCAAATAATTGCAACGAGAAGAAGGCAGACCACAGAGATTCATTTGGATTTTTTTTTGCTTTGTATCCACTGCCAGAATCTGAAATGAATAGTAAAGATAGCAATTTTCCTCAGACTTCTATCATGTTGAAGAATATTTATCTGTGGAACTTGATTTACGAGCCTTTCAGAGCGTCTTAACCTTTTATCAATTCATTTCTACGAATACATAGCACAAATCTTGAATATAATCAGAATAAAAGACGATGAAAATAAAGGACACGTTGCACTGGCCCCTAGAGATTGATTTTTTAGTAAGTTAGAGAAACAACAGAACCTGTATACTTCTATACTTGAAATCTTTGACCAATTATATTTTTTCTACCTTCAAGTTTGAGTCGTGCAACAAATGAAGAATTTCAAACGACTTTTCGGTATTTATTGAAGTGGGTGTTCTCAAAATGTTTATTCCAGACTTGTATCACTTGTACGTGCGGCCAATTTCATTGCTGAAAATTGCACTGGAAATCTAAAAGAAAAGAAGATACATGTCCAGTTGTGGAACAATGTCTTTTATACATGTTTGAAAATAAATATTTAGTTCTGGCCTTTATCAAAGACAAAACCCTGCAAATGCGACAAATGAAAGTTTGCAATGCAGCCAGTGCCAAACGTGAAGCCTCTCTCCGTGGTCATAGTTCAGTAGGTAGTGTCAAAGTTAAAGTGAAGGATAAAAAAATCCAGAGAAATAATTGGGGAAAAATGTTCATTTTTCGATTTCAATGAATGTATTTCTCTTCGATCTCAACTGCATGCAGACTGGATTTTTTTTACAGTTTGAAACGACCTCAATTAAGAGTCATGTATGACTTAAATTTTTGATAATTACAAAATTCAGAAAACAAAAATAATCTCTAAAAGATAACAATATATATGTATAGATGTTTGTTTTCTACGGCTATTAATATGTTCATTTCCAAACGTTTTGGATCCAAAGGTGATAATCTTTGCGATGAAATAGGCGATAAAAGCTGTGAGGTCAAGTATGGTCAGTTTGCTTGTAACTTATAAGAGAAGCATCAATTGTATACGAAAATTTTAATAATTAGGAAAATCCAATCAGCATCTGTTAACAGTTACATTTTATAAACAAACCGAATATTTTTTAGAATTTTACGAGAGGACCTCTTGCTCTACAAATTAAATAAGTTCACCTTGTATAAATATTTACATCAAAAATTATTTCGTTTGTGTGTAAGTCTGTTTTTTAAATACTCGATGCTGAGCAATGTTTACTCAATGCTTCACCAAAGAACGCAGGCAAGGGAAATGGCTTTGACATCTTTGGGAATCCAGGCGACTCGCAAACACAGAATAATGGCGGATGTTTTGGAACACGAAACCAATCTGCGGGTAAATCAATTGGAAATGATTATCATACGCTAGCCATCTGTGCAAAGAAGGTGGCGAAAACTCCAGGAAGTGTTCTGCTTACTGTCTGTGTTGGGAGATTATATACTGTCGGGGTTTAGGTAACATAATACACGCTTCTATGAAATTATCATCATTTGAACTTGCGCTGTTTAAATGAAATTTATGAGGCTTTTGATGGGGTGTTACATGCTGACTTTTTCATAAAACAAGAATTTTCCTCATATTCGATATATAGACAATGATTTTATTGCGGGGAAAAGGTAAATGTTTTTTAAAAAACTCTTTAAATTAGAAATACGCCGATAATATTTCAAAAAATATATTTCTTTAAAAAACGCGACCCACGAGCCTTGATAAGACAATTACTATAATAGTCAAATATATATTCCTTTCAGATAAAGTGAAAACGATAAAATAAACTTTCCCTCCTCCAATATAGTGGTTTATGAGTCAGCTGTCCAGAATAAAATGTGATATATGATACATGTGCTGCGCATCAAATATGTTTTCTAACTCAGGGATTACTCTTAAGTCAAGAGGTAAGGGCTATCTTCTTTATTTTCATTTAATTAAAACATTTACTATTTTAATTAGCATTTTGCAATTAAACTTTTAACAATTCGTTTAAAAATGAAATTTTACCTGAAAGTCGCAGTCTTAATTGGGTCATAGTAGAAGCTTGAAATTGTAGTTATGATCATTTTTCGAATATGGTATCTTTAAACTGCATTTCGAATCTGCAAAGAAATGATTTAAATGTATCGTTATAACTTTTTGTTAGGAGTTATAAAAGTTTTCCTTTTGCATAGAAAAAATTTGAAGTCTTATATTCTATTTTTGATAAATCAATTTTGAGTGAATGAAAGTTCTATCTAGTTTTTCCATTCAGAAAGATAAAATGTCTTTTGTTTTACACAAGTCGATAGTACCCTATCAATTACATCTATCATGATCGAAAAATAATGATGTATTCGTTCAGGATATTTTAATTTCGTTTGAATTAGACTGTTTTGATTGCTAAAATTAAATATAAAATTTGAATCTGTTTCATCGCTAATTTCAGGTGCTATGTGATATACTGTTCAATTAAATATGATATTAAAGAATCATTTTTGGAGTGCAACATTTAAGACCTTTAAACACCTGTAATATTTCACCTTTATTTTACCTTTACCCACATAAATAAAGGTTATCCAATAAGGTTATCCACCGATTATGGAGATGAACTCTGTTAAAAATGTATTTAAATACTATGACGAATGTAATGACTGTTCATTGTTATGGAACTGTTAGTGATTTAATATGGGGAAAAACAAATGCACAGATTTTGCGCTTTCTTTCAGTGTTAAGTGTTTGCAAAATAGTTCCTGAATTTGTGCCGTACAGGATTCGAACACTTACTGATTAATATAATATTATATGAAACTGTTCGACTTTGTAACAGACTTTTATAGAGATCCCCACTTTCTTTTCTTTTTTTTTTTTTAGGAACTTCTTTCAATGTCTTAAAATTAAAAAGAAATGTTAAAATATACACAATGCAATTCTGTAAAAGCAAAAACATTTTTTTTTTTAGATATATTTAATAAAGAAACCAATACGACAATCTAAACTATTAAATGACAATTTTATTACAGAAGTTAATGGGTGTTAAAAAAAACATCGTTTCGTTTTGTTTTAACTTCAGTGATGTGGAATTTGCTCGATTAGTTTTACATTTATCTTATCTAATTAGAAGTAGAAAAAAGTGTTACAAAACCTACATTTTATGCCAGACTGTACTTTTAGAAAGCATATTGAAATGTATAAGAGCCCAGTTTTTGCTTCTGTTATACGTGGCCATTGGCTCTCATGGTAGTGATGCGCGTGTATCTAACTGATAACAGGGCTTTGCTTTGGTACATGAGTATATTAGCTATCTTTTGTGGTTAGTGGTTTAATATGCTTTCTGCCTTTAAGCATTTGATTCGGAATACACTTCCGCCAGAGTTACTGAGTTTACCTGTAGCTGTTTTCATCCATCTCGTACGTCGTCTATTAGAACTTTTAAACAAATTCAGCTTCTTTCTCAAGAATGGCTGAACCAGTTTCAACCAATTTTGTTATATACGAGGAGCATTAAAAATGAAAAAATGTGCAATCCTGCATCATTTTTAAGAAAATAAAGATCAAAACATTAGTTTTATTGATGTATGCCTTAAAAGGTCGCAATGCTCCCCCCCCCCTCTACGCATGAAACAGTCTGGAGCCATACCCACTCATTAAAAACGTTTCTATACCACTTGACACTTAATTCGAGTAGTATATTAAGTTAGTTTGTCATTGTTTTGGAATTTCTATTTTAATACTTTCACAAGATCCGCAACAGCGAAGCGCCCATATACTTTCCATAACGTTACAAAATTTTGCTGATAATTCTTTTCCTCGCAGGCCGACCATCGTTTGACAGAGGGTGTCTACCTTTAAAAAACCGACTATGTCAATTATACTAAAGTATACCACTCACTTTCGACATATTTGTTTTGGAGTATTCCCGAGTTTAGAACAAAATTATACCGTTATTGCTGCTCTATTTTATGTCCAGCGACGTCAATTTTTTGCCTTCTTTCAGTAAGGACTACATGCCCTCTTGATCGATGTAACAATGCTTAATTTTAAATTTTATTTCATATAAGCGTCATTTTACTTAGATTAAATATAGCCATTATAAATTGTGGTGTTTCTTGACCCTATATTTTGCAGTTTTAAAATTTATATAGTTTTAAAATATGACATATATGAATTTTGATTCAAATTTACTCAAATTGTTAAACATATGTTTGCCAAATTGAGTTATTATACAATTTTAAGTAAAATTTTTAAAAAAGTCTACGTATCCTTGAAATGACCCCCTATATAGTATCCATGGGAAAAGGGGTACAAAAATGTTAATTTCAGGCCTGGGCTTGAAGTTCGGACGGACCAAAACCAATAAAATTAAAGCAATATTCAACAATTTTCTTCACTATTGGACATCTTACAGGCAAACTGTTTGTATGATTATAATAAGCTTTTTAACAAAATTGTGAAAGGATATGAGTAAACAGCAGCTATCCCTCTACAGTTTTTCAGTATATGTCCCGGGTCCAGCGATCAGAACCTGGGCCAAGGGTTTGGATAAGTTGTTCAAATATTGAAATTTATTACATAGTGACTCTTATCTCCTGAAATTAGAGAAGACAAGCTGCATGGAATATTATAATTTTTAAAGAGTCCTCATGAAGCTGTAATATTTTTGTGACAGTTCCAGTTCCGTTGGTCAGAGTCTTAGAAACTCATGATACACGTGCGACTGTTAGGGTCTAAGGACTTCTTGTAATCTTTTTTTTCAAAGCTCTCCAATAGCACTTACTCATGAATAAGGTCTTTTTATCTGTAATACAAGGTCCTTTAGATATCTGTGTGATCAAAGTCCAAAATCATAGATTTGAATTCGTTTGAAAGATTTGCAAAGAGACATCTATGGCATGTCAAATGTTGCAATATTCGATCTTTTCCATTTGTATTGTATAATTTTCTATTTGTATTGTATAATTTTCCATTTGTATTGTAAAAGTTTCCATTTGTATTCTATAATTTTTCATTTGTATTCTATAATTTTTCATTTGTATTCTATAATTTTTCATTTGCATTGTAAAATTTTTATTTGTATTCTATATTTTTCATTTGTATTCAATAATTCTTCATGTGTATTGTATAATTTTTTATTTGTATTGTATATTTTTTTATTTGTATTGTATAATTTTTATTTGTATTGTATAATTTTCAATTTGTATTCTTTAATTTTTCATTTGTATTGTATAATTTTTATTTGTATTGTATAATTCTCCATTTGTATTGTATAATTTTCCATTTGTATTGTATAATTTCTCATTTGTATTGTAAAATTATAGAATACAAATGAAAATTTATACAATACAAATGGAAAATTATACAATACAAATGGAAAATTATAGAATACAAATAGAAATTATACAATACAAATGAAAAATTATACAACATAAATGAAAAATTATTGAATACAAATGGGAAGTTATACAATGCAAATAAAAATTATACAATACAAATGAAAAAATATACAATACAAATGAAATATTATAGAATACAAATAAAAATTTTACAATACAAATGAAAAATTATAGAATACAAATGGAAAATTATAGAATACAAATAAACATTATACAATACAAATGGAAAATTATAGAATATAAATGGAGAATTATAGAATATAAATGGAAAATTATACAATACAAATGGAAAAGATCGAATATTGCAACGTTTGACATGCCATAGACATCAACGATGACGATGATGATGGTGATAAAAAGAATAACATTATGTTTATATTAGGTAACCCGAGTTCTTCTGTGATTTTTTACTATCACTGACTGTCCGTCGTCCGTTAAGTTTTGAACTTTCTCAACTACTCCTCTCAAACTTCTCAACTACTCCTCTCAAACTTCAAGACCAATTTCAACCAAATTTAGTGTAGAGATAAAAGGCTATAAAATGTCTGATTTTTATGCGTCCTACGATCATCAGGGACCTTGGGGCTGGGGAAAAATGACAAATAAGTATGTAATCATAAAGAAAATATTTTTTCATCTAGGAGATACCGAGTTACTACAACCAAAGGTATCTCAACGAACATTGCGAATGAAATACTTGACCCCTGCCCAAGTGTTTCAAGCTCCATGGCGGGGCTACATGTGATATATTATTATGATATTACATCTTATGTTTAAGAATTTTCTTCTTTACTGTAGCAACCATCTGGGAGACAAACTGAGTGCAGAGCAATAACAAATAGGGTATAATCTCAATATAAACTGTAAAATTCTTTACTCCTACCTTAGTGAGGGGGATTAAGGCTACGGGAGGGGGTATTCTGTTTATAGGGAAAATTGCAATTCACCTACACACATTTTCGCCTTTACTAGCAAGCATTTAGAAGACAAACTGGGACAAAACATTAAAAGCTTAAGGGATCTCAACATATATGTATAACCCCTTAGTTCTTTCCTTAGAATAGGGATTTTCTGTAGTATGCAGTGAAAATGCATTTCATCGTCCAAAATCTTCTGTACAAGCACGCATCTACGAGACAAAGCAATAACATTTTTTTTGTGCCTCAGAGTAAATTTAAAAATTTTATTTGCCACATAAAAATGCTGAAGCCGTTCAGGTCCCAAAGCGAAGATATATGTATATGTATTATACAGTGAAAACTAAAGATGGGCGAACAAGGCGAGCGAAATGTCTATAGTACGACAAACATGAAGTTGAAAAATTAAATCTCAATTATAAAAAAATTTTCTTTGATATTTCATCTAATATTAAGGTATACTTTATGTAAAATCTCCTCAATTTGCAAAAATCTTACAAAGATTGAAATTATTTGCCCATGAAATTGCATACACACACAAAAGAGGACAAAACGGATCATTTTCTCATACTATAACACCGTTTATCGATATGAGTGGGTCTTCGCTCCATTCTTCTGAATGATTTTCCTCAAAGTCTGCCAAAAAACCCACCTTTTTTTGGTTAACAAAAACATGGAGCAAAGACCCACTATACCTTAAAAATACACCTTTAAGACACAAAATTCGCATCTTTCCGAGAAATTCTTGAAGTCCATTTAGTCAAGGGTCATATTACAAAAATTGATTAAAATGCCACTATTCATCAGGAGCTGCGTAGCGTACTGGTTAGCATGTTAGTCTCGAAGGAAAATGATACCCAGGATTTTTAGTGCTCGTTTCGAACCTCACGAATACCACGTTATTTTTTAATAACAGACTAATTTTTGCCAAGAAAATCTTCATAAGAAAATTGTTGTTTATCATAATTTCATAAATTTCAATAATGAGAACTTTACTCTAAATGCTAAATTCACAGATTGAATATGATTTTTATATATCTGAAGCTATAAGCATTCAGTACGCCTTGTTCACCCATCTGCTTTGTCTTTTTTTTATTTTGCTAACAACCATTTGAGTGACAAACAAGCAAAGGTCTCTCAACCTAACTTTTGAATTTCATGACCCCTCCCAATGGGTTTCGGGTCCCAAAATTAGCCGAAAGGTATGCATTGTATACATTTTGGGCTCGATAGTAATTACATGTAATGGGAATTTCAATTATCTCTTAATTGCATGACATGTTTTTTGTTTGTTTGTTTGTTTAACAACAAACAAACAAAACATGTCATGCAATTAAGAGATGATTAAAAATGTTTTTGTTACTATCAATACTCAAGAATTATTTTTAAAATGTTTTATTGCTAAATCAATCCATTTAAATAATCACAATAATTATCTATTTTGGATTGAAATACGCTAATATAATGAGATCGTTAAACTACAAGGAAAAAATGACGAGTCAAAGCTATACGTCAAATTCATCAATGTTTTAAAATCTTAGTGAAAATGCATTTCATCTTCAAAATTTAATTCTTTACCAGCAAGCACTGGGTTAAGGAAGGAGAGGGATAGAGAAGGATTAATGAGACATTTGATTGGTTTAATTCATGTACTCAAAATATTCTGCAGGCCCGTAGGAAGCAATTTCAGTTTGGGGGGGGGGGGCACAGCCATACATTTTCAGTTGAGGGGGCAGTATCAACTATCAAAAATTTCTTGACAAGCAAAAAAAAAAAAAAAAAGTCATCAGACGTATTTATTGAGGGGGCACAGGCATATAGTAGCAATTTTTTTATAGTTATCTATATATCGGCAAAATTATTGGGGGGGGCACGGCCCCCCGTGCCCCCCCCCCCCCGGTTCCTACGGCCATGTTCTGAAGGTACATTTGATAACAGATGCTGAAGTAAGATAATAGATACTGCAGTTACTCAGGTGATCGTTAAGGCCCTTGGGCCTCTTGTTAACTATGAATTCTGCAATCAACACGAAACTCTCATTTTCCCATTCTTACGACAAAAAAAAATGTTTTGTTTGTGAACAAAATGCTCAGAAGTCATTGTCCGGAATGATGTGTTCTATGGAAGACTTAATAGGATTAAATATACATGCCATCTATTCAAGTGTTCTTCAAGAATAAAAGGCTTTTTTTTTTAAAGCCAATAAACACAATTTACTGTAATGATGAAATATGAAAATAACGAACAGAAATCATGCTCAAAAGTTCAAATAAACAATAAAATTCGAAAGCAGATCACGGACCCCATTAATTTCCACCACACGATCTCTTAGAGTTTTCAGTAAAAATAAGGCATTTCTTATTCTTTCTTATTCTAAAAAACAGAAACAAAAACAAAAAACAAAACATATAACATGAAGTACATGCAACTACTGGTTATTTGTAGAACATTCTATGACACTTCAGTTCTTTTATAAATGTAAATTACTCGCAGGTCTAGTTGCTAACAAATCTAAGAACAAATTTTCTTATATCATTAGTCATCAATACGTCATATTACATTTCTTTAAGCCGTTATATCTGTCGAGACACCAGTAATCACCACTCTGCACATAACACTGGCGATTTGTCTTTATTGTTAAAGATAACAATGATCTGATTTTTACAACTGCTTCTAAAAAGTGGTAATTTTCACAGGCTTTCCAGTCACATTATTAGATAAACCTCATCATTATACAAAGAATTAGATTTCTTAGATTTAATTTTCGTCTTTGTGACGTGCTGGATAGCTTCATGAGCCTTGTGAGACTAGGATATTGATTCTCGTCCGTCAACATAGTTATAAAGGGGCATTAAGAGATAGGAATAGGACAAATAGACTGAGAACGAGAGTTAGTACAAGGTCCTGTTCAAAATCCTTAAGATATAAACAATTTGTATAAATACTTATTTCAGAATTTAGAATATTGCATAACATTGATATAATTTTTTATCATCAACATTTACTGCATTTTTGTATCAAATGGGCCTAGATTTTGAATTTCGAATTTAAATTTAGTTTGTTTTCATTTGAACAAAGAGGCAATTATCATTTTGTACGTCTTTTCAAATTTCAATTGGTTCACTTTAAAGTTTTTATTCCTTCAGATTCTTATATTACTAAATGAGTTGTAATTAATTATAATTCTGGCATGGTTTGTACATGTCTGTCCGTCATACTTAAATACTTTCTAAGGTTTCAATAAACATGTAGTTTATTTTACTCCCAAATCGTTTAAGATTTTCATTTATGACAAAGAATGATTTTGATACGAGATTCCCAGAACGGCTATAAGCAGATGAATTCTTTTATTCATTTTCAAACAGCAAATTATCTATCGAATTTTACGTTCATTAAGGATGAAAATAAATTGTCCTCTTTTGATTTTTGGGGTGTTGCCTTCACAAATATTATTTTTAAAATAAATACCATTCATCAAGTTGAAAGGAAATCATGCCACATACCTCTACCCCTGGAAATTAAAAAAAAGACTTCTCTTTATCAATACTGATACTGAAACGTTTATCGTAACTTTATCAAGTGTTTCAGGTGAAAAAACAAACTGTTTCAGCTAAATGTTCTTCCCGGCAGATTTATTTGTTTATATTAGGACGATGCAACTAAATTCTTACTAAATATTTGTGAAAAAATATCTCAAAACTGACAGTATTACATAGCACAGTTTGTGTAAGTATATATTTGCCTTACAGTCAATATTTATGATTCTATTCTAGAGGGGAAAAAATGAGAGAAATATTTCAATACTGAAATTTAAAGAATCTGATGTTCTTGAGGGTCTACATTTCGGTTTTTTGCTTTTTGATCAGTCGAGAGATATGTAGTTTTTGCTTCAACAAACTAATTCAAACTGTAGAGTTTAGAGGGGAAAAAGCCTGATGTTGTATGTACGTGTATCAAAATTCAATCACTTTCTTGTATTTTTATATTTGACAAAAAACATTACTACTGAAACCATGACATTGAAGACCTTTTTTTCATTTTAGATTTTATAATCGTATGACTACAGAATGGAAACCAATGGAAAATCCAAATATTACATAACGGATGATCCGAATCAAGTTGACTTCAAAGGGTAAGATGTGGATAAGTGGACTAAATAAACAAAGACATATGTATATGAAGATAACGAACAGTGATCGAACTCAAAGACCTTTCAAATAATTATACAAATTTGTGAACCGAGCATAAAATACGAACCCTTGGAAAATTTAGAGGTGGTATCAGGTGCCTAGGGGGAGTAAGAATCTCCTGTTGATCGGTCACATCCGTCGTCAGTCTTATGTATTGATCAGGTAGAGGGAATGATCCGTAGACAAATTCAGTATAAAAGAATGACCTCAAAATACGACCCAGTAAAAGATTGTATTTGCAAACGAGGTCATTATAATGGCCATTATAGATTTTCTAAATGCTGACTACTTTTTCAAAAAAAAAAAAAAAAAAAAAAAAAAAAAAAAAAAAAAAAAGAAGAAGAAGAAGAAGAAAAAAATGGAACTCGTAAATATACCAACCTTGCCATTGATCATTTGCAAAATTATTTTGTTAGAAACATTCTGATGGTACACACAAGTATTCTGAAGTTGATATTAAAGAGATGCTTGATTTTCTGATTGACAATATCTAGGTAGTTTTTTGGAGATCAGGTCTTCCAACAATCTGTTGGAATTCCCATGGGTACCAAATGTGTCCCGTTGTTAGCAGACCTATTTTTGTATTCATATGAAGCAGAAATTATTCAAAAACTTCTACATGAGAAGAAGAAAACGTTTGCTGTGACCTTCAACACGACATTTAGATATATCGACGACGTACATGTATTATCAATTAACAATAGTTACTTCCATTCATATGTCGACACGATATATCCCAGTGAGCTTGAAATAAAAGATACCACAGAGTCTGACAGATCTGTTTCATATTTGGATATTTTACCAGAAAAAGGCATTAATGGTAACAAAGCTTTATGATAAACATGATGACTTGGAATTTTTCAATCGTCAACTTCCCTTGCTTGTGTAGCAATATACCCTTATCACCTGCAATTGCGGTTTTTGTCTCCCAGTTGATTCGACACATTTACACAAGAGCATGATCTACGTTTGAACAATTTCTCAAAAGAGGCAAGCTATTGATAAACAAGTTGATGAAACAAGGATATCTACAGTCTTGTTTGGAACAATCATTTTGCAAGTTTTATGGTCGATACAATGACCTTGTCAGCAAATACAACCTATCATTAAGTCAAATGCCTGACTTTTTCATACTAATTGTTAGGCCATTATTTACTCACTGAATTGTATAAGGATTTTTCCGTTTTCCCCGACTATGACAAGGAGCAGACGGCGTGTGTGACCGGTCGGCAGGAGATGCTCACTCCTCAGTGGCATCTGATCCCATCTCTGATATTTTTTGGAGGTCCGTGTTTGCTCTGCTCCCGATATGTATTGCTTTAATGGACTGTGAGCTTGAATACTGTTCGATATCTGATATCTAAAACAAGGTTGTTGAAATTCCCGTAACATTAACTTATTTGTGATTAGCCTACCTCAGCTTAAAAAAAATTATCATACTCAAAGCATGCTTTTTCATGTTTGGAGACATAAACACCATATGCAGATGATAGAGGAACATTACTAAATGAATAAGGAAAGTTGACGATGGAAAAGCAAAAGTGATCTCGTTTGCCTTAGAGTATTGATTTTAGTTGGTCATTATGGTCTATAGTCTGTAAAATATCCAAATATGAAACAGATGTGTTCTTTGACATATTTATGACAAAGACATATTCTTTGGTTGTGTCTCTTTTATTTCGAGTTCACTGGGATATATCAAGTCAACATATGAATGAAAGTAACTATTGTTAATTGATAAAATGTCATCGATATATCTAAATGCCGAGTTGAAGGCCATAGCAAGAATGTTTTTGATTACATTCTGCTTCATAAGTATGTGAAAACTATTGGCTAATAAAGGAACACAATTAGTGCCGATCGGAATTCAAATAAATTATTTGAAGGCCTGGTCTAAAAAGACTACATAGATATGGTGTCAATAGGAACTTCCGCATCCTCTTAAAATCAATCTCAGAGTGCCTGTATGTAGTGAAATGCATGAAGATAACGAACAGTATTCAAGCTCAAAAGTCCATTAAACAAAACAAATTTTGGAGCAGAGCAAACATGGACCTCTAAAACAACAGAGGTGGGAACAGGTGCCATGGAGGAGTGAGCATCCCCTGCCGACAGGTCACACCCGCCTTGTGCTCCTTGTCATGATCGGGTAATAACGGAAAAATCCGTCGACAATTCAATGTGTAAATAATGGCCTAACAATTAGTATGAAAAACGTTAGTCAGCATTTGTCTTAATAATAAATTGTATTTGCTGACAAGGTTATTGTATCGACCATAGGACTTGCAAAATGATGACTTTAAACGAGACTGTTGATATTGTTTCATCAACTTGTTTGTCAATAACTTACCTCGTTTTAGAAATTGTTCATAAGTAGAGCATGCTCTTGCGTATCGAATCAACTGAGAGATATACACTCCATATGCAGGTGATAAGGGTATATTGCTGCATAAGTAAGGGAAGTTAACTTTTGAATAGTTTTTTTTTTCTTTTTTTCTCTTTTATTAAAACATGGTACATAAATAATTCAATATACAGAAAATCATAATACATATATTGCATAGAAATTTATAAATCAAAATCACAAATAATTGCCTACTTCTAGATACAGATTATCATTAATTACATGTGCTTCTATATACATGTTTTCTTTTTGAAATCTACATGAATGACAATAGATTAATCAATCTAGTTGTTTTTAGATTGATTTCGTTGTAAAAACCAAGTACCAGTATTTTCCATGTGATTTCAAAACCCAAAAACATATATTCACAGAGTATATTGTTTTTCTTTTCCAGTATTTTATAAAAGTGTTCAATACGAAGGAAGTTCCATCATTATCAAAAAGATCTTTAATATACAGAATATCACTTTTTATCCAGTTTTCAAAACAAAGAGGATTAGAATTGAATTACGATTGAAAAGTTAAAGTTATCACGTTTATCATAAAGCTTTTTGTTAGACTACCATTAACATCTTTTTCTAGTAAAATATCCAAATATGAAACAGATCTGTCAGACTCTGTGGTATCTTTTATTTCAAGCTCACTGGGATATATCATGTTGACATATGAATGGAAGTAACTATTGTTAATTGATAATACGTCGTCAGTATATCTAAATGTCGAGTTGAAGGCCACAACAAGAGATTTCTTTTTCTCTTGTACAAGATTTTGAATAAATTCTGATTCATATGAATACAAAAATAGGTCTGCTAACAACGGGGCGCAATTGGTACCCATGGGAATCCCAACAGATTGTTGGAAGACCTGGTCTCCAAAAACCACATAGATATTGTCAATCAGAAACTCAAGCATCTTTTTAATAACAACTTCAGAGTACTTTTCTGTACAATCAGAATGTTTTTTAATAAAATAATTTTGCAAATGACCAATGACTAGGTAAGTAAATTTATCAGTTCCATTTCAATTGAAAAAAAGCAGCTGTCAATGATGTCAAAAAGCCTGGACTTTAATTTGTCGTGAGGAATGGTTGTATAAAAAGTTGAAAAGTCGTAAGTTCTTATGTTATTGTTTTTGGTAAAATTCTGTGATTTCAAATTTTCCAAAAGTTCCTTGGAGTTTTTAAGTATCCACATCTGATTTACACTACTTCCCAAATATATTGTTGCACAGTACTCCTGAGGTTTATCCTTCACTGCTGTTAATATTTTAGTGAGGTGTAAAGAAAGAGGCTAGGTAGAACATTTACTGGAACCCGCTATGTATCTTTGTCTGTAAGGATTTTTATGAATTTTCGGAATCAAATTTAAACATGGTAATTCAAATTCATTTTGGTTGTTGGGAATATTAAAACTATTTAAAACTGACATATGATTTTCCTCCTTAGAAAGGGAGGTATGGGTGTAAGTTGGATTGGCACTTTTAGAATTAAATCCCAGTTCTTCTAAAATACAATTAAAATAATGAGCCTTACAAACAAAGACAATGTTGTTACCTGCTTTGTCAGCTGGGACCAGTACAAACTGATCGTGTAGTCTGTCTAATTCTTTTTTTATTTCTGAATTATTGAACACAGAAGGATAGATGGTTTTCATATTGCCCCTCTATCGCTTAGTGCGAAATTTTAACATACATCTGATACATTTAATCCATTCTGACAAAGTGCCAAGGTCTTCTGTATCATATCTGGCCCATCACCTGGCGTAATCTTCCACAGAATTCATAATATTAATGAAATTATGATTCCGGTTGAAAAATTGAGGTTCCCTAAATTTTGGCCCTTTTAAAATAAGTGATTTAAGGTAGTATACAAGAGATGGGCCATATTTTTCATCACATTCATTTTTTCTGAAATTCTGAAATTTTGTCAGAGGATACAAAATCTCGCTTTATATGTAATTTGAAAGAAATTTAACACATTTTTTGTCCACATAGTTTGAAATACAGCCTATCAGACCCCTGTAAAAAGATTGTGAAATCAGACATTGCACTTAAGAATATACATTTTAAAAAAAACTACCGATCGATCTATTGCAATTTTTTATGATGCTTTTTTTTTTTTATAAATGCAACCTTTCTGTTACTAAAGTTAGGTAAATTACATTGATACCGGTATATTTGAGAAAAAGGGGATGAAAAAATAGAACATATATAGCCCAAGAATTGAAAATTCACATGTAACTATGCTACACTTTAAGTTCTCTAAAGAGAAAATGTATGATTCAATTTTTACAAAAAATGAACTGAATGATTGAAATGGAATCCAGATTAAAATGTGTTAAAATGAAGAACATTGATCCAACAGATTCAAATATTTTGGCGACTTAAAAAATATTTAATGCAAAAAATAAAAAGAAGCAGTAGATGACGTCACAATATTTGACCTTTTACCTCTAAATATGACCTTGACCTTTACTGTGTTAAAAGAATTGAGACTCTTTATAAATATGTCCAAAGATCAAATGTTACTTTGGATTTAAT